TTTAGTATTTATGAGAATTTAGAGAATTAGAGTCGTCAATCAGTTAGATAGTTTAGTTAAGCCCGGGAAGTTGAAATTCCCGGGTTTGATTCCTGGAGTGATCGACAAATTCTTTTTCTCTTACATAAGAAAATGACTAATTTGATTTTTTAAAATAAGTAGTAATTTTTTTTAAATTATATCAAATATTTTAAAATTCAAAAACTACGTCACATTACTTTAGCAGATATGAATATTACGATTATAGTAAGTCAATTCATTGCACAAGGTCGCGATTATGGTCGTGATGGTAATTTTATCACTGTAAAAAATGACGATTAGTGATTTTGAATACTATCTCTAATCCACGTGAATAACTTACGCCAGACGCATCTATACATCCATAGTACTCAAAGCGTTAAGAAAACGTTTTATTAGATAAAAAAATGAATCATCGGACGTGTTTTGTGTTCAGGGAAGAAATCGACCGTTCGATAGATCCCAAAGCGAACGGGGCTGGTCAGAAAGAAACGGTGTTTCGGATCCGGGCGAGTGGAACGGTTCTACTAGTCCTAGGAAAGAATTGAGTCGCGGAGCTAGCGGTAGTTCGCTTATGGAAAGCAATTGGCGACGCCACCGCGCCGGTACAGAAGACGACGACGGATGGCGTAAATGGGGTGGTAAGTATTTTTAACTGCCGTTCGATCGTGCACCGGACGCATGATAATCAATTATCATCCCGTTTCAGGTAGGAACAGCTGGCGCGAAGGCGGAAGCATGGACAGGGATAGATTAGAGAGGAACGAAGGTGACGGGGAGGAAGGCCGTACCGGTGGCGGTAGATGGGAACATCGTGGGACTCATAGAGTCGCCCACGACTCGAGCCATCATCCACCACTTCGTACGGCGCGCACTTGGGAGTCTAATCATCACGACAACAATCATGATAATCTTCCCGAGTGGTAAGTTCTTAATGGTACAAAACGTTGTACCTTCCATAGGAAGTTGTTGGAAAATATGCAAAGTTAATGAGTTTTAATGATTGTTTAAAACAAATGAAGGCTTGAAAATTATGTGAATGATAATTAAATGGAGGATTAAATGTTATAAAACAGAAGGAACTTTCAGCAACTTCTTTTAGGGCTTACAGTGAGTCTTACAAATTCTGGATTCCTTTTTTATGACCTTTTTATGTTTATTGTGGAACGTAGCCAAGCAATGCATTGTACCAGTGTTCAATGACAATGTATGATTATGATGAAAATTTGTTACAGGGCCACCGAGAATCCCAGCGAAAGCGGAGGAAGTTTCGACGCTTCGGGTGCGTTCCACGGTGGAATGTACTCGGACGACGACGAGGACGGGGTAATAAGCGCCGGCGGTACTCAAGAATCAAGGACTCGCCGCGTGTCCGAAGGAAGCGCTGCCACTACAACGAAACCCGGTAACAAACCCTTATCTTACAGCTCGACTCAGGGTCAATTAGTGAGTCGCAGCGTCGGTAGCGGAGTTAGCGCGATAAATAAAGACCGAGCGAAGTCGTTGCACCATCCGATCGATACTAAAGACGAGAGTATCGAGAAGGAAAGGAGAAGCTGTTCTCCGCCCGTGAAACCGCCTGCCGCTACCGCGGTCAATACCCCGAGCAAAAGCTCGACGTCGCATGCAGCGTCGCAGCCTGAAAGTAGCACGCAGAAACGAATCGCGGTGGCGATTGCAGGTACGGAGCAAACAGAGACTGAGATCGCGATGCCGACCGATACAGAAATGAATAAATCTCCTAGTAAAGAGAAGAAGAGGGAAGAAGTTGTTGTCGAAACGGACGGTCAAAGCGACGCGTTTCCTAACGTGGTTAAAAGGCAAGTCGGCAAGTTGCAAACGGAGGAAACGCAAATGGTTGTGCATAATACGGAGACTGAGTGCGCGAGGCAGAGGTCCGAAGACGATTTGGATAGAATGAAGGAGGAAGCGGACGCGTTGGTAGCGAAGTTGATGGCGGACGAAGAGAGTCATAGGGAGAAGTCTGCTAGTGGTGTACCGCCTTCTATTGGTAACCAACCTTCCACAGTCCCATCTACGAACGGACAGGAGAAATGGTTTTACCGTGATCCGCAGGGCGAAGTTCAGGGACCGTTCTTAGCAAGCGAAATGACGGAATGGTGCAAAGCCGGCTACTTCACCGCTGGTTTGATGGTAAGAAGAACATGCGACGAGCGGTACGCTACTTTAGGAGATTTATTGAAGATATGCGGCAGAATACCGTTCACGCCTGGCCCTCCTATACCTCCCTTAAAGGTACGCGGACTCTCGATTCTTCTTCCCAAATTTATATTACTTTCACTGTCTCAAGCAGCGTTATCAGATTCAGCAATTTTTCTCCCCCTGGCCCCCACTATTGTATTTTGTTACCCATGGACATGCGCCTGATGCGCCTACCGGCTTGCTACGTGACGTGGTTTAAAATATTCATAATATATTGATAAATATTCATATAATTCATAATAATAACATAATATATTGTCAAAATACGCAATCAGGCGCATGTCCATGGGTAACGTAAGCGGGGACAAAATACAGTAGTGGGGGTCAGCACGCGAAAAGAAAAGAGAAAAATCGTTCAATCTGGTAACGCTGGTCTCAAGTCCTTTTTTTCATTTTCATCTTTATTGCTTTATAACAAAATAACAAAATTGTTGACATACTTTTCATTGTTTCTGAAATATTTCGACTTATATATATATATAATATTGAATAATGCTGTTTAAATCTTTTTGCAACATAAACCGTTTCGTAAAGAAAAAATGTGTTTGTGGTTGTTTCAGTTAACGGATCAGGTGATACCGCCAGTACCTAACGCGGTGCCAGCCGGAATGTCCGCGCTACCGAAACCTGGCATCGACGATCCGCTACTCCTGCTTCAGTATCAACAAATGCGAATGTTGCAGAATCAACAGATTCTCTTAAGACAAATACGGGCTTCAGCTATAGCGAAACTCTCTCAATCGGAGCATTGGGCGACGTTGAGCCCTCACGAACAGAATCAGTTGATTTTCCAACGCGTTCTGCAAGAATCGGATATACCAGACGTCCCAATTTCTACGAGCCCGTTCGTACCTCATCTACCGACTCAGGCTTCGAACCCGGTTATGCAACTTTTCACTCAAATGCAACAGGTAAATGTTTATAATAATAGAGATGTATCATTTTTAGTCGTTTCAGTAGCTTCTGTACCATTCGATAACGTTTAACAGTTATAAAAATAGGTAAAAAATTAATAGTGTATCAGTAAAGTTAAAAATGTACGAAACACAGTAAATGATTATCGTACAAGGACCTTTTTGTATCATTTGTGGCGATAAAAGTCATTTTTACATTTCTAGCCACTTCTGATATTGGTTTTTAATTAATTACAAATATTTATTTCTGTACAAATATTACAAGAATTACTGTGTAAGGAAGTATCGGTCTTTAGTATTACATTTCCTTTTTTTTTATGCCTGAAATATCGAGAATCATATTCCAAGGAATATTTCAAATCTAACAATATCTGAAAATTTGCATACTTTTTATTTAATATAAATTATGGACGGAACGATTTGAACAAATTCTCACATGTACTACTCGTTCAGTGGTACTCTGAATTTTCTCATCAATCATCCTCTAAAATTGCAGAAATAAAATCTAAAATCGTCGAGTTACCAATGGCCACACTAAATTTCACTCAAATATAAACAATATAAATGTAGTATATTAGTGTTTAAAAACTATAGTTTTAATATTAATTGAAATAAAATAATAAAATAGTATGAAAAGATAGATAATACTGTCAATATATCATGCGCCTGCATTCATTCATTTTAATGACACCAACACCAAAGTTCTTAGTATACCGGAATAAATAAGATGTTGACCAGAAATGATACGTCTACCCTAAAATCGTTTTAATAAAAGATCATTAACGAATTTGATTGGTTTGCAGGCTAAAACGCCAGCAGAGACCCACTTAACGCCGAGCCCGTTGCAACATACTAATACGCCTTCCAGTACAGCGCCGCATCCCCCAGCAGTGGATCCCATACAGCAGCTGATACAGCAGATGGGCGGAGTACAAAATATACCAGGAATGCAGCAGCCGAGTATAAATTCGGCGGCGACGGCGGCCGCGACGCAAGAGGACAATCCTATTAAATCTTTGTTACGTCAACTGAACATTAACACGAATGGTCACCCGCAAGCGTCTCACATGGACACCGTTTGGCCTCAGCCACCGCCGCAAATAAATCCACAATTCAATGCGCAGAATTGGTTAGCGCAGGTACATCCAATTACTATTCAATTCATTTCAATCTTATACATAACATACATAAGAATCTATTTATTAATTCTACTCGAGAGAAGTTTAAAAAATGAATTTTGTACATTTAATAAGCATTGGCTATTGATAAATGTATAGAAAGCTTATTTTAATCAAATCAGTAAGTAATCGTTCAGTTTGAATGGCAGTTTTCATTTCTCAAATTGCAGATTTTTAATTTAGTTGTCTTATTTAAAAGAGAAATGCAAGTTTATTGTGCTGTTTAGGTTGGACCGATACCGGCTGTACCTCCTGGTCAATTACCCATCTCGTTATGGGATCTACATACTAATAAAGAAATAAAGACTGAGCAGCAGATACTGGTAAATTAATTTGAGATGTATAAAGATAATTTTAATTGGATATCTTAAGATACAGCCTCGTAAGATAAATTGAACAACTCGTAAGGTATTTGTTGTACGACAAAAATGTTATCCAAATGTTACATGGATGATACGTAGTGTTTCTGTTAAGGATGTATTGGCTATACAGTCCATCCCAAAAATTTATGTATCTTAGAAAAACGCATTTCCTATAATTAAAAAGAAATCAAACGTCGGAAGAACAATGCTAATAATAAATAGCTACGTGCTAAAAAATATAGAAGGAAATATCCAATTAATTATTGACGCTGGCGAAAAGTTTTTTATACAGAAGTTGTAGGCACTGACATCCTCTACAAAGAAAAATTTTATGCATTTTTCTTCTAACTTCAATATTTAACGAGTTAAGTGCAGTTAATTGGCATTTTATTGACATTGACAAAGTCTGACCGTCTCACCGTCGAAATGGCGAACTTTTGGCAAAAAATTTCGTTTTTC